GTCATCTTTGTACTAACAGAAATGAATGGGGTGATTGTTGTCGTTTCCGTTGTTGTTGGTTGAGTAGTTGTAGTTGCCGATGGCTCTGTCGTACTAGAAACTGGAGGTGTTTCCTGTAAATATCAAGAAAAGGATAAAGGTTGTCCCATGCTAGTTTATGTATACATGTGTATAGATATGTCTACATATATACTTGAATCAATAAGTGCTATGTATACATAAATGTATATGTACATGCATATGCACTAACACGCACAGGCTCACAGACAGACAACTTGATCCTTTGCAAAAGCCATATGAATATTAAAAATTATATCGCACATGTCCAGATGAATCATGTATATGTAAAATGCGAACAATGGTAGTTTGGATTAAATCTGGATTTGTTGCTATTTTTGCACTACTAACAATTTTGCAGACTGTATTTTGTTACCATGTACATAATATGTGCATTTAACTACTCTGTGTTTAACAATTTGTACTAACAGTTGTCACTGTTGTTGGGACTGTCGTACTTGTCTCTATTATAACGGTTGTTGTAGGAGTCTCCTGTAAAAGAAAAGAGTGAAATACTATATTGCTTATGCCTGGGGTCGTTCCGTTGGTTTGCGACTTTAGTCTACGGCTTCAGTAGCAAAGTCAGCCAGTGTTGTGTTAAAAAAGTAGAAATGTCTAATCGCAGATTGGAGACTTTTTTCTAAATATATTTATTGGCATATTTAAGAAAAAGGTGTGGACATTTTACTAATATTTAAATGTTCATTAGATAAAGGATTCCTAAATATCCGGAATTATATTAAGAACAAAATAGTATGCACTGAAACTTCTATAACAGAGTGTGAATATATATGGAAGCACACACATGTATATGTATATACACACATATATAGACATACTCATGTGTGCACGCATGGATATATAGACATACACATACATATATATGTGTGTGCATGCATGTATGTGTACATAATACTGAATGTAATATATATATGTATATGTATGTATATATATATATATATATATATATATATATATATATATATATATATATATATATATATATATATATATATATATATATATATATATATATATATATATATATATATATATATATATATATATATATATATATATATATATATATATATATATATATATATATATATATATATATATATATATATATATATATATATATATATATATATATATATATATATATATATATATATATATATATATATATATATATATATATATATATATATATATATATATATATATATATATATATATATATATATATATATATATATATATATATATATATATATATATATATATATATATATATATATATATATATATATATATATATATATATATATATATATATATATATATATATATATATATATATATATATATATATATATATATATATATATATATATATATATATATATATATATATATATATATATATATATATATATATATATATATATATATATATATATATATATATATATATATATATATATATATATATATATATATATATATATATATATATATATATATATATATATATATATATATATATATATATATATATATATATATATATATATATATATATATATATATATATATATATATATATATATATATATATATATATATATATATATATATATATATATATATATATATATATATATATATATATATATATATATATATATATATATATATATATATATATATATATATATATATATATATATATATATATATATATATATATATATATATATATATATATATATATATATATATATATATATATATATATATATATATATATATATATATATATATATATATATATATATATATATATATATATATATATATATATATATATATATATATATATATATATATATATATATATATATATATATATATATATATATATATATATAATATGTATATATATATATATATATATATATATATATATATATATATATATTTATATATGTTTATATATGTATGGTATATATACAAATATACATATATATACACGTGTGTTTGTGTGTGCTTGAGCATGGCATCGTAGTATGGCATATATTATCGCAAATATACCAATGTTCAATGATATTAATGATGTACACGTCTTATGTAACTATTTGTACTAACAGTGGTCTCCGTTGTTTGGACTGTCGTACTTGTCTCTGTTATAACGGTTGTTGAAGGAGTCTCCTGTAAAAAATAGAGTAGAAGTGAAATACCGTATTGATTATGCCTGGGGTCGTTCCGTTGGTCTGCGATTGTAGTCTACAGTGTTGTGTTTAAAAGTAGATATTTCTAGTAAAGATATTGAGTGCATATTATTGTTGGAATATTGAGAAGAAAAAAAAACAAAAAAACAAAAAAACAGGATATTATTGTGATATAATATATTCATTAGATACAGGATTAGGGAACATATCAGTGCAAGTGCTAAAGCTGTGTGATTATGACCGCGAGGGAACATACACAGACACACTCACGGATACACACATACATGCACATGTGTATACATATATGTGAATGTATGTGTGTATATATGAATGTATATATGTATATATTTCTATGGATATCTTAGACTATAATCCAAATGATAATTTGGGGTAAGTTCGGCGGTGCTCGTAGATATGCTTGTTTCCTGAATAATTGCATCGATTCGTTGATTCACATGTATATGTATGTAAGCAAGTGCATAGAGGCATTGTCTTTTGTTAGATATAAACGCAGTATCCTGCTATGTAATCCATCGTGTCACGCTGGTTGTGTTTGTACTAACAGTGGTCTCCGTTGTTTGGACTGTCGTACTTGTCTCTGTTATAACGGTTGTTGAAGGAGTCTCCTGTAAAAAATAGAGTAGAAGTGAAATACCGTATTGATTATGCCTAGGGTCGTTCCGTTGGTCTGCGATTGTAGTCTACAGTGTTGTGTTTAAAAGTAGATATTGAGTGCATATTATTGTTGGAATATTGAGAAGAAAAAACAAAAAACAAAAAAACAAAAAAACAGGATATTCTTGTGATATAATATATTCATTAGATACAGGATTAGGGAACATATCAGTGCAAGTGCTAAAGCTGTGTGATTATGACCGCGAGGGAACATACACAGACACACTCACGGATACACACATACATGCACATGTGTATACATATATGTGAATGTATGTGTGTATATATGAATGTATATATGTATATATTTCTATGGATATCTTAGACTATAATCCAAATGATAATTTGGGGTAAGTTCGGCGGTGCTCGTAGATATGCTTGTTTCCTGAATAATTGCATCGATTCGTTGATTCACATGTATATGTATGTAAGCAAGTGCATAGAGGCATTGTCTTTTGTTAGATATAAACGCAGTATCCTGCTATGTAATCCATCGTGTCACGCTGGTTGTGTTTGTACTAACAGTAGTGAATGGAGTGATTGATGTCGTTTCCAGTGTTGTTGGTTTGGTAGATATAGTCGGTGATGGCTCGGTCGTACTAGAAAATGTAGGCGTCTCCTGTGAATATTAAAGTGATGAAAGTTGTCCGTGGCAATGGGTATGAGGAAATATGCAAAAACATTTTCTTATGTCAGATGTAAACACACTATCCTGCATTGTAATCAGTGTCTAGACAGTCGTCTTTGTACTAACAGAAATGAGTGGAGTGATTATTGTCGTTTCCATTGTCGTTGGTGGAGTGGTTGTAGTTGTCGATGGCTCGGAAACTGTAGTTGTCTCCTGTGAAAATTAAGATTATAAAGGCTGTCCTTGACAATGGATGTGAGCGAATTTGCAAATACACATTCTTTTGTCATATATAAATACACTATCTTAGGTTGTAATCAGTCGCGTCATGTCAGTCGACTTTGTACTAACAGTAATGGATGAAGTGACTATTGTCTACTAAAAAATGTAAGTGTCTCCTGTGAATATTAAGGAGGTAATGAAAATTGTCCATGGCAATAGGTGTTAATAACTTTGCAAAGACATTTTCTTAAGTCAGATATAAACACTATGCTGCGTTGTAATCAGTAAGTGACTAGCCAGTCATCTTTGTACTAACAGAAATGAATGGAGTGACTGTTGTCGTTTCCATTGTTGTTGGTTGAGTAGTTGTAGTTGCCGATGTCTCGGTCACACTAGAAAGTGTCGTTATCTCCTGTGAAAATTAAGATATGAAGGATGTCCTTGACAATGAATGTGAGCGAGTCTGCAGATACATATTCTTTTGTCATATTCAAACACACTATCCTGCGTTGTAATCAATAGCGTCATGTAAGTCGTCTTTGTACTAACAGTAATGAATGGAGTAATTGTTGTCGTTTCCATTATTGTTGCAGTTGGTGATATCTCGGTCGTACTAGAAACTGTAGGTGTCTCCTGTGAATATTAAGGAGGTAATGAAAGTTGTCCATGGCAATGGGTATGAAGAAGTATGCTAAGACATTTTCTTATGTCAGACACACACTGTCCTGCGTTGTAATCAGTGTCTAGCCATACTATAGACCCCCAAATATAACCACACGTAACCACAAACACACACACGAGAACACTCCCTTTCATACACATAAACGCAAGCGCATATGTGTATATTTATGTATATAAGTATGTATATATATGTATATGGATACATATATATACACATGTTTGTGTGCGTGCGTATATATGTGTGTGTGTGTGATCGTGTGTGATTGTGTGTGACTATGTGTGCGTGTTTGTGCGTGTGTGCGCGTGGTGTATGTGTATGTATATGGATCTGTTTATGCATGAATGTACAAATGTGTTTATATATGCGTGCACAAATGTGTATGTATATGTACGTATATTTGTATGTACACACCTATACACAAACACTACATGCGATTATACTGTAAATGGTCAAGGTTCTGACTGAAAAAAACAGAACTGCCAACCAATTTAAAACTTACAGTTGGTGTCGTTGTAGGCATCTCGGTCGTTGTTATCTGTAATTAGAAAAAAAACTTGAGATCAGAAAGTAAAAGTCATAAATGTCTATACATATCTATGCAAATATAATCCACAGCTCTTTATTATCCTACGCCATTTCACAATCGCCACGCAAACCAATAATCACTGTAATATCTACTCACATCGCATTCGTCGGTACAGTTCCTCACCACCGTCATGTCCTGATCCACTCTGACAGATATAGACCTCTTGTCGATCCTGCCTGTGAGGAGGAACATAAGGTACGACATCGAAGAACTATTCAAGCTGGACAGTTCGTCTGTATTATCGTAGACTCCGCCTAGGTATTCAACTTCCACTTTCTGAAGAATCAAAAGAAAAGGAGTTTCATTCACATTATATGTATCTGTGTGTGTGTGTGTGTATATATATATATATATATATATATATATATATATATATATATATATATGTGTGTGTGTGTGTGTGTGTGTGTGTGTGTACATACATATATACATACATGAAAATACAGTATATATATATATATATATATATATATATATATATATATATATATATATGCATACGCAAACACAGATCTTCACACACACACGTTCATACACACATATATTCATACATACGCACATTCATAGACACACATTCATACATACACACATATTCATACACACACACGCACGCACACACACACACATGCATATATATATATATATATATATATATATATATATATATATATACATACGCATTTACATATTTGCATATATATATATATATATATATATATATATATATATATATATATACATACATATATACGTATATATATACATATACATGTATGTATGTTTATATGTATACACAGATATTTACATATATATACTGTAAAGGCAAAAGTAACATATTTTCAAAATGCACGCACGCTCTTTAGGAATGGAGATTTGAGCTTGATGTTTGAACTAGATTCGAAGCCAATTTTGTGACATGCGGGTGTTCGAGATTCCACTCTAACTCGAGCACCGATGAAGGTAGGAAATCTTTCCTTGGTTGAATTATATTTTTTCATTCAGTAATGGGGTTTCTTCTATTTTTCTTGTAACCATGTGTAATTGGTAAGTAGCAATTTAAAAAATACTGATTTGCTTATATTAGAATACCGAAACAGGAGAAACCTACTGATGCCGAGGGCCCTGCATAGAGGTTTCAGAACGGAGATATATTTTTAAAATGTACAAAGACTGTGATACACCTCCCCTCTTTCTCTCGCCACACAAACCGGAAATATTCTCTCTCCATCTCCATCCCCCTTCTCAAGCATGAGTCCCGGCATGGCTCACACGATGTACGCCCACACTGCGTCAAAATTCTCAGGCTCTAACGTCTCTGTTGACCAATTCTTCGCAGATGTGGAAGACACAGTAATTCATTCAGGGGTTAGGGGAGAGTCTGAGCATTTTGCTACATCGTGCCTCGTGGCGGCGACAATGCAACTCAACCACGATATTCCCCGAGTGGCTGAGATGCTCGATTCCTTTAGTCATTTTCCGAAAGATCAGAAGTCGTATGGAATGTTCAAATTTTCACTTCAACATTCTCGAGGCAGACGAAGAATCACCATTTACGACTGGTAGAGTTGCAAACCGACAAAATTCCGAAGGATGATTTTTCATCTCATTTAAATAAATATTGCGTGAAGCTCATTCACTGGCACAGTATATCCCGGGCTCGCGTTGGTGTGCCTGAAGCAATGTGTTACACAGAGCGCATCGCACGCGGCAGTTCTTGAACATTTTGCAAAAGCGTGGTTAGTGTCTTCAATCTCTCCAGCTGTGCGCAAACGAGTTTGGGATAAAGTTGACAGTGCTTCATTAGATGTGCTTCGCCTGCTCACGTGTACCGCGTGCATATCTGGAGCCTCCCTCTGGAGCGCAGTAATTTGTAGCACCTTCTCCCTCGGTAGCTGCTCGTAAAAACCCACGACCACACGTGGTTACCTGGGCACTGAAACCTGCACAGTGTCGTAGATGCTTGAAGTTGCATCGTCCGTCTGGGTGCTCTGCTAGACAGTTCTGTCTGTACTGTAACAGGCAAGGTCACACATTTAATGAGTGCACGTGGTTCCCGGATCAGGTAGCGAAAATAAACAGGGAATGAGCTTATAATAGGCGAGTGGTTAATTTTTTAGAGGAAGAGATGGTAAGTTTCGAACCAGGAGAGGAAGTGCATTTGCCTCTGGTATAGCTGCGTCGTCTTATCGGTTTCGTGTTACAAGTGCTGGTATACCGGACAGTGGAACAGGGCCCACTCTCTTACCTGCTAAGCTTAAAGGGAAGGTCACATACTTTTTAATTGATACAGGAAGTTGCGTCAGTCTCGTGAGTGAGCGGGTGTTAAAGGACTTTCAGCTCTGGTCTGAATAATTGCCAGCCAATATTTGTGTTAAAGATGTAACAGGATCTCAGCTAGGTGTAGTTGGAACAACGTATGTAACTTTGAGGTTTGGAAACCTTTTTCTTCCTCATTTTGTTGTAGTGAAAGGTTACCATAGTTTCCTCGTCCACATGTTCCTTGGCCATTATTTACTATATCGTTCTGGTATGGTTCTGCGACCGCAGCAGAATGAAGTGAAAATTCAAGGTCAGGTTTATAAGCTAAGTAATCTGAGTTCCGTCTGGAAACACCCGGACTCTTTTCACGCTAGCATTCTTGGTTCCGCTTCGAATACAAACAACGACACGTCTCAGCTGTATCACCCATCCAACATGACCACATGCATAGACACATCACTCTCCTCCCCTCCTTCTCCTCCTCTGACCCCTCCCCCTACCTCCCCTGTCTCTTCTGCACAACTACCTCGCCCCCCCCCCCATTTCTCCTCCATACCCTCCACCTCCTTCATATTCCATGACTTCTTCAATTCCTTCTAGGTCTCATTCTGTTCGTCATGGAATTACTTCCTTTTAGCGTGCTGCTGGTACCTCACGCACACATCTCGCTGCCACATATCATACATCATATGACTCATCAAAGCATGTAGGTTGACAATGATGGTTTGGCGCATTTAGTGGTGTGGGAGTCTGCAGTAATTCCGCCCGTCCATGACGGTTTGGTTAATGTGACGGCCTCGGCAGATAAATATGGCACATTCTTGGTCATCCTTGAAAATTGTCGAATAAAAGGAACATGTGTCCTTCCCTCTCTGTATACCTTGCGGGATAGGAGTGTGAAGAATTTAGCATCTGCCCCTTTGTTTATCGATAGTGGTATTAGGTTAATAGACTGCGAGGTCATTGATCTCCTGATAGATGAGTTTGAACTGCCTTTGTCAGCCTTCACTGGCGCTGTTTCTTCCACGTCCCTCGCTTCAGCTGACCATTTGTTGCAGCATTAGCCAAGGCTATGCAGAGACCATTCGTATTTAGCAAGGTTAAGGAGATTTTAGGCAAGTTAAATAAATTCCTTGACATTTTACCGACCAAGGACCGTCTGTTAAGCAGAATGCATGTGGTAAAACACTCTAATACTCTTGAACCTGGGGCTAAGCCTTTGTATATTCCGGCATACAAGATCCCACACAGCAGGCGTCAGATTCTAGAGAAGGAAATGCGCGATGCTGCAAACAAGGGCTAATTCAACCGTCGACTAGCCCATGGTCAGCGCCGACGCTGTTGGTGCCGAAGCGTCAGCATGGCTTTCGTCCCATTTGTGATTTGTGACCATTCCATCACCTTTTCCCATGCTTAACCTTCGCTAGCTCTTGCAAGATATTGGTGGGAAGAGTAAGGTCTTCTCTTAGATTGATCAGGCTTTTTAGTTTGTTTATCTTCAATCAAGGACCATGAAGCACAGTTGCGCAGTGTTTTTCAGCGACTTTCGGAAGCAGGTCTAACAATTAATCCAGCTAAATGTAACTTCTTCCAGTCGTGTTTAGGTTTCCTCGGTCATTCGGTTAGTGCTACAGGTATTTCCCCTAATGAGGCGAAGGTAAAAGCCGTCAGTATGTTCCCCATTCCTTCTAATGTAACACAAGTCGTTCCTGGGGTTAGCAGGTTTTTATAGACCATTCATTAAGGATTGTGGGAGGATTGCTGCACTGCTGACACATCTCAAGAAAGATGTCCCCTGCCACTGGGGCGACGAGCTGGTCAGCGCATTGTTTAAATATTGTTTATCGCACACTCCCGTTCTTGCATTTCCGAGGTTTGACCTCCCCTTCATTCTCCATACAGATGCATCAAATGTTGGGATAGGAGCTGTTTTATTGCAGGCGCACGAAGGGAATTTGTATACTATTGGGTTTGCTAGTAGGGTTCTCATTAGTGCAAAAAAGAATTACTCAGTCACCGATAGGGAAATATTAGTGATTGTATGGGTTCTTAAGTACTTCAGAGATATTATACTTGGGTACAAGGGCAGGTGAACGTTTTGCTGTTCCGTCCGCAGGCTAATGGTATCATGGAACGTTTCAATAGATCAATTCTCACCATTTTTCGTCAACTGGTGGACGACAGCAAGGACGATTGGGATGCTCTTCTCTCTCTCCTTCTCTTCTCTTTTGAAGATATGTCATTTACTTTGCAGCTAATGATAGTACCCTCATTAGCTGCAATTACATGCCTTACCTGTACTGTTCATTCTTTGACTGATCATTATCAACTTTTTTATACGATATATTCTTTCATGCTGGTTTTGCGAGTGGTGATTGATATCTGGCTCTCCTTTCCAGGATGCTGTCGTCCATATTATTTGTGGCACTCCTTGTGGAAGGATGCTTGCTTCGCCTGCCGCATAATGTGAAGAACGCGCCTGGTGCTATGACTAATGACCTAGGGAAGGTTTATCCTATAACAAGCCATGTGCAGACCCGGTTCTTGTTATTGCCACTTCGCAACACTTCGAAGCTCATGCTATACCACAGGGACCAGTTACTTTCTCTTGGTGACAATCTTACCATCGATCCTTCTCTTGATGCACATGACATTCGCCAATTCGATCGTATCTTATCCTCGACGATTGCAGAATTCTTTCGTAGAACCTCTCAAGTCTAGGGGTAGGGACTGGCAAAGATTATTCAACTTTGTTAGCAACATTGCGCACATATTTTCCGAGGTTTTGAATGACGGCACTCTATCATCCAAACTCAGGGAGTGTAGGGAAAGCTGATCGTCTGTAGTTTACAGTTTCGACTGCTCATCCTGTCAACACGATCGAGCACAACGTTCAAGAATTAGCTTCTGATTTTAATAATGTGCTAGGTAAGATCGGTCAACTTGTAGGTACAGTGAACAAAGTTTCACATCTTACGTCTTTTTTTTTTTACCAAAGCACAGTGAAGAAGATTACACTGCAATGTAGTTTGGCAACAGCCCTCATTCGTGCGGCGCAGGGAGAGATGTTGCCTGACGTGATTTTGCCTACCGACATGGGCGCAGTACTTCAAAGGGTATCTTCCTTTTCTGTCAAAACTCTTCCCTTTAAAGCAGCGCACTCGGTTTTATGCTAGCCTGAGGTCTTTCCTCTCTGCCTTGGGGCTGTCTGTTATCATTCCAGTGTGTCCTACTATCTTTAGTGGGTACTGCATACTCCTTCCCACACTAAACAAACAAATCCTATTACATGGTTCACGTGCCTCACACATTTATCCTTAAAGAATTAGGACATGCTCTATCCTTCCCTTCCTCCGACTTCTTAGACTCCTGTTCGAGGCCTACCAAGGACACATTCATGTGCTTTTCTTCACCTACTTTACCTTCATCTCTTAAGGCTCCATCTTGTGCTTGTGCTCTTGTTTCAGGTGGGCTGCTCGCTTCCCTCTGTCCCCTCGAGCAGGTGAGGGATCAGCTGCAGGGAACTTTTGTCTTGCCTCATCATTGTGGGTTATGTTCCCTGTCATTACAGATTCCGGCAATCAAGTCCTTCGTCACGGACGTCGCTGCAGATCCTATAGAGATTAGGCCTGTGCTCCTGACCTTGCTGACAGTCAACGTCACGACCCTGGAGTAGCATCTAAGGGACGTTAGTAAGGTTTAGGATGCGGACAGGGGTTGACGTCAGATTTCCATATAGACTTTGTCTACCCTGTTTATGTCACCTTGTCAGGCATGTTGCGCCTCTTATCAGTGTTTGGGGTGTGCTACATGAAGGCATATCGGATGCATAGGGAAGAACGTATAAGCAGTAAGGCAGTCGAGCGTGCATCCTCATGTCCCCCATATGATGGACTTATCCTTGTACATCAGCAATGTCCATGATGCACCGACTATATCTGCAAGTAGTTTACTTTTCTCTATTCTATTCCTTTATCAGAGTGCTCGAGGTTCAAGTAGATCCTTGAGGATTGCCTTGATCATTCCAGTAAAAAAAAAAAAAAAAAAAAAAAAAAAAAAAGTTTAACAAAATATTAGATGAATACTACCGGTTTACGGCCCCCCCACCCTCCACACACACACACTTGACATATCTTTCTCTCCTATCTTGGCCCTTGTGTGCATGGTCTATTTCCGTTAGCTTGGTCGTCGATACCGACGCTTCAGGCATGTGACCGATGGCGAGGGACTCCACAGAGAGCGGGAGAGTCAAGAAGGACCATGTCGAGGACCGTCTACAGGATATGGCACTATGGCGAGGACTTCGCATATGAGGACCCGTGGACGGACACCGAAGGGACAGGAAGTAGAACGCCGCACAGGACGGGTGGGAGATGAGGACGCGTGGAGGTGGACGTCTACCGCACCGTGTAAGACAACTTTGCGGTGGATCAGCCTGTCAGTGCCTCGAGGGCGAGGCGAGGATAGGTGGCAGAGCGGTGTGACAATCATTAATCAGTGAACCCGCCAGGGCAGCTGTGTGACCTGACCTCACTTCCGCGATAACAGGATACCGGAGGGGATAAGCCGGCGGGAAAACAGTTGGGTTTTCACGCCCTGGGCAAAAGCTAGGGGAAGAGCAACCTAGCCTGACCCGAAGGAGGCAGAATGAGCTGACGTCGCCTCCGCCACGTCTACTACGTTACCATATCTCCACCTAACTACGTGTCTGTTTTTTAATTAAGCAGTTAAACAGATACTGAAATTTCCTCTGGACCTGCCAGATAATAACATAGTGTTACTCTTGTTCATTCGAATTAGTGACCATTATACACATTCATAGACACACACACATTCATGCACACATAAACAGATACTGAAATTTCCTCTGGACCTGCCAGATAATAACATAGTGTTACTCTTGTTCATTCGAATTAGTGACCATTATACACATTCATAGACACACACACATTCATGCACACACATTCACATATACAGGCACACACAAAATTCATATACACAAGCAGTGAAGTGCACAAAGATAAAACCGTGAACACTGATTATGTTTATTGTATGTACAGAGTGTGTTTTGCTGATTATTAGATTTTTTGTGTGTATTAATTTTTTAAAGGAATTCTTGAGTTTGTTAATCCCTCTGAAATGGTAAACTTAGACATCAAAAGATCCAGTCTTCACATACATATTTACATATATATGTACACACATTCATATATACACCCACACACATTCATATATGCACCCACATTCACACACACACATTCATACACGTACATTCACACACACACATTCATACACACACATGAATTCATATACACACATTCACATATACACACGTTCATATTTACAGAAACAAATTCATATATACACACAGACACATTCATACACACATTCATACACATCCATACACATATGTATTCATACATATACACATATGTGTATATATGTATATATATATATATATATATATATATATATATATATATATATATATATATATTTATGAAAGACTTATGTTTTATACGTGATGCCAAATTTCAATACTGATTGTAGTTATTTGATAAACGGGGAAATAGCTAATATATTATATATATATATTATAACACACACACACACACACACACACACACACACACACACACATATATATATATATATATATATATATATATATATATATATACATATATATTAGCTATTTCCCTCTTGATCAAATAACTACAGTTAGTACTGAAATTTTAGCATAAGCATATTTAACACTGAGTGTCTCATTAACTCCAACATATTTGGGTTCTCGCCCTTTTTCGTATACTTTCACGCTTTTTTAAGTACTGCTTATTACTGACCTGACTGTTGAGGGGATCCTCGCTCTCGTCTTTGTCTGTGACCTGTTTGCATACAAAATGATGTCAAAAATATGTTTCATGACATATTTTATATGTGTATATATACGTATATACTTCTATGTATATATGTGTATATACTGTATATAGACATATATGTAGATATACATAATATATGTACACACACATATAGACATACATACAAATATACGAGAATGTGTGTAAATTTTTCTGTCCTTCATAAAACAGAAGACAGACCTTTTGGTCTATCTGGACAATGGGTGAGGGGACATCGGATAGAGCCACCAGCAGGGCAGAGACGTGACCTTTGTTGCTGGAGGTCAAACAAGGCTGTCCCACTACCATCATACCCATGCTCTGGAACAAATCTGTGGACGGAATAAAACTTCGTAATGCCCCGTATCACAAGAAATGACCATCGTTGTATATCATGGGTTTAGTAGTTGAAAATGACTGATAGTTTTGTATGCTCGTTGAAAAAAGAAATCAGTTATTTATACAAACTTGTGTTTTCGCATATTTCCACATACATATATATTTTTAATCCATAGTTTAACTTTCCGATATATTAAATCACTCATGTTTATACGGATTCTTACTCTTATTTATCTGTTAAGTTTTGTTACAGAGAAATAAAATAACACGAAACTCACCGTCAGGCGCCGAATCATTGAGACCGGCCACTAGCCTTGCCGACTGGTCGAGGTAATAAGGCACGTACGAGGAGTTGGTCTCTGCCTCTCCATCTCCAAGCAAGCGCGAAAGTTGATACTGTGCGAAGGGGGTAAAGTAAAGCTCTTTGAAGTTACAAAGGGCCTAGGGTTGTTGACGGGGTTATTTTATTTTTTATAATGATGATAGGAAATGAAAAGACCAACTGCTGCTTAATTGGGTTTTGTGGCATGATGGTCGGAGTTTTGACACAATCCCACTACAAGACTAAGGTTATTGTCATGCAAATGAAGGTAAACTATTAAGTGCACAACGAACACCGAACTATCTTCACGAAAACCATATAACAAAATCAAATCACACATTTGAAATAAATATCTGGGAACTGATCGGCTGCATCGAACTGGATCTCACCTCTAAGAGATGCAGAATCCAACCCCATGATTTGCAACGCCATAGATTAAACTTTCTGCCCCTTACCTGCATAATCTGATCAGCGACGAAGGAATGGTGAAGGAGCGTGGAGGCCAAGGCATGCCATTCGTCGGGGTTGTTTTCTGCTTCTATGATATTCTGAGGCGCAGAGCTGTTGACCTGCAGCAGCTCCAGGAACCTCCAGTCTGAGGGCCTTATCTGCGAGATGAGGAAAGAGCTTTTTCATCAGACGAGTAAGTTATTATTTTACGATTTCACGTGATTTCAATTACGTTCATTTAGTGTCTATAGTAAATTTGGGTGGGCTAATATTTAGCCATAAACGTGTTTCTTGGCAATAGGTTTTTTAGGATATTATTTTTTTTATATTACCAAATCAAAAGCGTTGAGAATCATGTTGCTTTTGTCCGTATAATAATTCCCGGATTAGGTAAACGTTTCCTCACAAAATATATATTACCTTCTGGCTATCCAAGTGATTACCATAAAGATTAAAATAGCTTAGAATGCTGGCGTCACCAACCGTGTTACTATCGCGTAAATATTTGTGCATTTATTTTCTTAATTTTCTCCATATTACCGCAATCATTACTGCTAGAGTAAAAGGAGATTTATCTATTTACGATCTATCTATCTATATATCTATATATAAAATACACACAAACACACACACACACATACATATATAACAATATCAACTTCGTAGATATTCAACGGTAAAAGAGGAATTGGGATGACATGTGAAAAATATTAGCGACACTTTCCTAGCTGGCCGACCGCCCATGTTATAAACATCGCCTACGTAGCATTCTGTGCCAAAGAAGTTATAACCAATGGCAGTATGGAAGAAAATGAAAACAATATAACATATAAACAAATTAATTATATTATTGAAAGAAAGCTAACTGAAAAAATGAACGTTCTCACCTCGACTTTCTGTGGGTCACTCGAGGGGTCGCCGTTCAGAGAATTCTGTGATGGATTGCTGTTGGAAAAGACGATCTGCGACGCATCTTCATCGGCCTGGCGCCTTACAAGGTCGTGTGGAACCTCGGAAGCTAGTACCAAGACGCAGGCCAGATGATATGCGGTTATAATTGCAAACTGGTATCTCAACGGCCCAGTCATCGTTTTGATCTGAAATATCGAGAAACATGATATGTGTATTAGTTGAACAGTGTGCAGTTTTCACAAAAAAAAAAAAATATTAAACAGCTGTTACCATGCCGTTTATCAATGCGGAAAAAAGGATTTTGAATAATAACATCAGTGGTATCAGGCTTGCAAAGATATAAATTTTAGGAGATGCCAGTTATTTAATCATGTGATTGTGAATTTCACGATAGCATGCTTCTACGAAAGCAAATAAAATCACACAGACACGAACATATATAGTATATGTCGCTTTATCTTTTACACACATTAGCAGATATGTAAATGTATAGGTTTATATATATATATATATATATATATATATATATATATATATATATATATATATATATATAACATAAGGGTCTTTTTCTCAATGTTAATCAATTTCCTCTAGATTTTTCTAGATTTCTAGATTCTAGATTTTAATTGAATGTGTGCATCGCCATACTCTATGACCGTAAGAGGAAGCCTACGTGAGCATAATATTTCATACTTGCCATTACGTAATGGAAGAAAAGCAGCTGCTTATATAATTGTATAACTTACACTTGTGTCTTACCAGACTACACTTGTGACTCCAACAAAGAATATCTGTTGCACCTGTAACTCTTGCGTTGGGTGAACTCGATTGTTCCACCAGTGAAATTAAAGTGATAAGATAACTGACATTGTTATTATGGGATAAACAGTAAGAGTAGAAGCACTGTAACCTCCATTTATCCTCGTCTTGATCGTCAGTTTCGCTAACCCGTCTTCTTACGGGGTCGCTGTTTTCCATGTGCCGTCTCCATCTGCTTCTATCTCCTACCATACAATTCAAACCTTTCTCTCATATCTACCACTATGCAATATTTCCATCTTGGCTTGGGTCTTCCTCTCCTTTCAATTCCAATGTTTTTTTTCTCCATCGTTTCTCATGACATGTCCATATCATGATTTGCTCTTCTGTATTCCTTCTCATCGTCTGGCGTTCTACTTTGTTCACAAGGTTTCTGTTTCCCTTTTCTCCTAGTACTCCCGTGGTCACTCCTCTTAAGATTTCTGCATTTTTCTTCCATAAGTCTTGAGCTCCCTCTATATTTAAGTTCATCCTATCTAGTACCTTGGTCGTGACCTCTGGCCTCTTTGCTTCCTCTTTTAGAGTTGTACATCGAGTCCTCTTCTTATATCTTCTCTTTCCTTTTCTTTATCTTCTCAACCACACATCTATCACTATCAGCCGGTATTGTGCTATATGATCTGGCAGCACTTTGAAATTTCTTATTTCAGTCAAATTATCTCTTCCATACATAAGGTAGTCTATCTGCGTGATACTGCCTCTCCTCTTATATTTGATGAAGTGCTCTTGCTGAAGTATTTGCAATTGTCAAGTCAAATGAGATTGCTAAACCTAGTATTTGTTTACCATCTTCAGTTACATTTCCAAGCCCATGACCTCCATGTAACCTCTCCATTCCCTCATTCTCTGCTCGTGCATGACCATTCAGATCCGCACCCAGCAGTGGTCTTTCCTACATTTCATTTCTCTCCATTTCAGTTTCTGGCTTTCTCCAGAAGTCTTTCTATTATTCGTCTGCTTACCTGATTTATTGCACATTCCCCATATACAAGTCTTACCGTCATTAGCCTGTCTCTTCCTCTCTTCACTTCTGTCACATATTCTTTCATTTTCTGCGATATCACTATTCAAACTCCATTCCCTTCTGCTGTTGCACCACTACAATACAGTTTATATCCTTCTCCTAATTCCCCTTGTTGGCTCTCCATCTGGTCTCCTGCACACACAGTATGTTTACTCTCCTCTTCATCAGCTCCGCCACCTTATGACGATTGCATATATCACAATAGTTAAATAAAAAGAATCAAAATAAGTAATGCAAAGAGTTTATAGTCTTCTTATTTGCACCTTACACTGCTGAATTGTTTTTCTTGTGTATTTTAGCAATAAAGTCATTGGTGGACTGCTTAACCTTAAACTATAATCTAACAAATCAAAGATCTTAAGAGGGCAAATATTACGTCGCTGTATTGCGTATCTATAATTAAGCTGTTATTATCAGAAGGTCACATCTATTATCCCTATTATCTCTTTCGAATATTTCACATATGGACAGTAATTATCATCTCAATTTGACAGTAATGACATGACAGAGAGAGAGAGAGTCCTGGATTTTTTTTTCTTCTTTTTTGCCATATCAGTTATTCTTTCTCTGTCGTGCTTGTTAGGTGTCATTGGCAAAGGCGGTAACATTCGATAGCTGCGGCATTTAAGTAAAACAAATCATATGAGGTTGTGTGTGTACGAGCGCGCGCGTAAAATATGTAAGAATGAAGTAACGCATTTTATATAGAAATTTATATACCCTTCCTGACAGAACCCGAAGCCACTTCTTACACTTTGCCATACGACCCAATTAAAAAAAGGTTGTCTAACCAGAATCCAGACTAGATTCATGGATATTACCCATCTACTGAACGCAATAGCGAGGTTTTTGTCAATCTCCGTTGACAATCTCCGTGAGTGTGTGCGCGCGGGCGTGCGTGCCTTCGAGAATATCTGTGGTAACGTCGATGGTTAAGCATTTCAGTTATAATTATAATTACAGAGTGTTTAATTCTTAGGAAATCCACATACAGGTTTTATATGAAATTGTTCACGGTTCATTCGATTTCGAAATCCAGCAATTTTTTCTTTTACTTTTATCACTGTAATCACTTTTATCACTAATAAAATGTACCACAAAGCATTTACACCAAGCACCGCGATCTGTATAAACAACTATTTGATCTTGTTTACCATAACCTGATCATGGAAAAGAGAGTAGGTCTATGTACCTAACTTTTATTATATATATGATATGATAGATGTTAATGACATTCTTGTAATCCAAACTGGAAAATGAGAATATTAATGGTGGTGGTAATTCTGATAATTATGTGATTGTAATGATGAGTAATAAAACTAATAACAGCAGCAACAGCAATAATAGCAGTAGAATAGTAGTAATAATGACAACGATAATAATAATGATGATATAACACGTGGCAGTAGCAAATATTATATCATTATCATTTTTTCACAACCCTTGGAACGATAAGCACTTAGGCATGGTTTCTTCTACAGTTCTCGCTGACCTATTACATAACTCCCTCCCGCAAATCCCACTCCGCTAACTCCGGCGGCTCGAGCGCTCGAAAAGCTCGCTTCAAATGTTTCAAAGACTTGCCGATCGAGCCATAGCTACTGGTTTCAGTGCACCTCAAATAGAAATCGATCCATCCAAAGGACACAGAATTATGTTTGCATAGGCTTTTAAACAATGACTCAATGTTCCTTGTAGAGAAGGCAAACCAGTAGAAAATAGAACTTTATACATAAGATACCCCAATATTATAAATATACACATGCTTCTGGCTTCCGCCTTGTCAGGGTAGATTCGGATTCATTGAGTTCCAGACCCTTCATAGCGCACATACTAGGGGGTTTGAGCTGTTTTGAGTTATCACTGATGCTTAACTTTAACTTCAAACAAATCACAATCAAAGCATATTTAACTATAATTGAATTAGATTAAATTCGTAATTTTATAGTACAGCACCATCACACCATGCTTTATATGCTGTCAGATAATGTGTGTGTGTGTGTGTGTGTGTGTGTGTGTGTGTGTGTGTGTGTGTGTGTGTGTACGTGCTTACATATGCACAAATAGGTGTGTGTGTAAACACGCACATATACAAACGCATGTATATATATACGCCATACATAATGGTGTTTCAAAGACAGAAGAATCTTGAATTTAAAACATTGTAGTAGGAGAAATCACCTCGCATTTTACACTGACGTGAATTTAATCTATTTTCTATTCAACTAACAGTACAAATAAAAAAAACGACAGAGGATGAAGGATGTGGCATTGTGTAACAGGAACAGGTGCGAGAAACACTTGGGCTCCCTCGACACAGAAGTAGAAAAGCTAGAAAACTGAAGAGCCAGTGAAGAAGTGGGAAGGTAGAGGGATAAGAATATAGCGGGTGGTAACAGTCGATTAGTAGATGTTGGGATGAAAGAGGAATGGGCGTGAGACATGAATAAGAGATGTATAATCCCTTTGCTCCATGGCCGTTATTATTGATTTTTTTTATTGATTATTATTACTTCTTTTAAGTTAGGCCTCATTTCACTCGGAGGTTCTCGACGGAACTCCGATGCGAAGCAAATTGTGGGAAAGTCATTTACTTACAGAGAAAACATTCGAAGTTGTGGTAAATTTAGTCGACGAGCGAATCAATTTACTTGTAGGCCTATTCAGCAAGGCTCGAATCAAAGAAACACACTTATGTAAGAAAAATGATACTTGCATGATAATAATGAATAATGAACGATACTCATTTTATGTCCTGGCATTATAACAGACCCGTCAACTAAACTGTGTGATCCCATTAAGGTTCGCAATCCCAGCCTTGAGAATACGGTCTTTTTATATTAAACCCATAAATAAAATACTGTTAACTATACATTATATCTTTTCGCCTGATTGCCGCCAAAAATTCGCAAGGTTCCTGGTATTTTCTTAGAACATCTTTCCTTATATAAATATATTTTCATAATACTTTCGCAACAGAGTTATTGAACACTTGACGATGCCATTCGGGTCACGTAGGGAGGTGGGTGGCCTGCACGTCACGGCAAGATTATGTGGACCAAAGTAATTATGGGATATTCGTGGAGGAATTAAGGTCTTATCCGAATCAAAATTCTTTCGGAATTTTGGTAACACCTTTATATACGAAAACAGTTGTAATATGCAAGGAAAAAAGTAAGGGATATATCGGAACGAGAGTATGATGTAATTTTGTTATGCTATGTTTTATAATGTACAAGTGATCGTTACAACAGCGCAGTTGTATGGCACACCTGGGCGTCTCTGTCGAAGAATAACAATTTGACAGACATAACTACCACAAAAATAAATAATAATAAT